TCTTAATCGACCAAGTGATGGGCCTCGACTACATAATCGTCGACCAGACAACCAAAAGATGTAGGATCTTGTTCCCCAGGTGGTGTGTTAGTTCGCTTTGATGGGTCTATTCATAGCGGATGCGAGGGAACCGATTTTGTGCAATCATGCTATGGTGCTAACAAACACTTTTGTTAGCACGTGCTCAAACAGTCAGGATTGTGCCATAAGGCCCGGAGCTCATCTAGAGGGTTGGGATTGCAGGCCATGGAGAAGGGCTCGGGGGAGGTTTTATTGGCTAAAATTAACCACTAGTCGAGCTAAGCCGAACTCTTTTAGTGGGCCCCCTCCAAAAATTTTGAAACTATTATCTCTCATAGATCCAACCTCATTCCTTTTCTTCTTCCTTCTTCTTCTTCCTTCTCCTGAAATCTGAAACAAGAAAGAAAAAGAACCTTCGTAGAAGAAGGCCAACCATTTTTCTATGTTTGTTATTTCGGGTTTTTGAAGGTAAGGGTTTTTATCTCGTGAGACCAACCATGGTCAAAGGTCTGAGACTTTACTCTGAAATAAGAAAGAAGACTAGAGGTACCGACGAACCAAAAAACACAACCATAGTTATATGGACCAAACATATTGGTTTCTCTCTTGTTTTTGGCATAAGACTAAGCGATGTTTCTATGTTTCAACATCATTTGAGGAATGTGGATTTGGCTTTCATGCTTCAATGTATGAAAAAAAAATTCTTAATGTTTGGTGGTTGTTGAGAGGATTATAACTTTTAATTCAACTATTTTGCATGAGTTTTGTTTCTTTGTTTACTTTCATGGTGATTCATGTGGACAACTACATCAGTACTATTGGGTTGATATCGTGAGTTCCCCAAAATCCTCCCTATTTCACTTAATGAAGTGTGCACCACATCAAAATTTTATTTGTATGTTCCTTTTTGATGGACCAAGTAGAAATTGTTAGATAAAAAATAGATTTGGAACATTGATTTTTTGTAGGAAATCATAATTGTGGAGTTGGATGGAAAAACAATCAAGTTGCAGAGACTCCCATTTGTTGGTTTTGAATGAGTTGTAGTATTTAGTTTCTTTCTATAATGAATATTGGTTGTAAACATTTTAAATATGTGTTAAGATTGTTTCGAATATAAGTTGCAACGTATATTTTCTCTTGTGTAATGAATATTGGTTGTAAACTCTAGGACAATTTAATTTTTTGACACATATTATTCAACATTTATAAACTTCTATGTATATTTCTTCAAATATGAGTCTGCATCATGTAGTTTCTCTTATATACTGAATATTGATTAGAAACATGTTGAATATGTATTGTCTTCGTTTCAAATATGAGTTGCAACATATAGTTTCTTAGAAGATGTATCGTATGTTTATGTGTCAAATTTTTGGATCCAACTACTAAGGAGATGTAAGTATTTTGGCACATAAATCCTCCAGTTGGAGGGAAAATATGGAACTAGCTGCTTATGTTTATTAGGTGAGGGGCATCATGATCATTTTATTTTTTATTTTTTTACTTCTGGTTAACAGATTGTGATCTGGGACCACCCTAGTATTGCTCAAATTTGTTGTCAATGAATGAATGTACTCAATATTAAATATGAATTCAACTGATCGCCTAATACTTAATTGAGTTTACTTAGTATTGAATATGGGTTGAGCTTAAATTGAAATACAATTTACTCGGTAGTGAATATGAGATGAGTTGATCTCATAAAATGATTTTATGAATATCTTGTGGTTGCCATATAAATATCACTGAAAACATATAAACTCATATTTAATACCAGTAAAATTTCATATTCAGTCCCATTTAAACTCATATTAAGTGTCAACTTGTATTCATTCATATGTAGGGGTTTCTTCTTTCAAATCAACTAATGTGCGCTAAGTATTCCCACCGTGATATTTATGTATTTTTCATGTATTCAGTTCACGAGGTACAAGTATCCTAAGTACACGTATCCATTTTGTAAAGTATGTGTATTCAACAAGGATTTTAAAGCTATACTGGAGGTTCTAGTGGAAAAGTTAGTGGCTAGGTATTTTATCCAAAATCATGGTTCAGTTGTTTCATACTGCTAAAAATTGCTACCGATTTAGTCTTCAGCGAGACACTTTTTCATTTGGACCGCCAATAGGGTACGATTTCACAAACAATGGTATTCAGTAATTGACGAATGTATATTTCAAACATTCCAATGGATATTCATATTGATGGAGTGGTCACATACCACAACTTATATATTCTAAATGATAAAACTTAATTAGCTTGTATTTATACATAAGACACAAAATACGTTGCAAATTGTATTTGAACACAACACATGTTTCATACGTTCAGAATTAGTATTCACACAAGTATCCAAAACAATAAAATTTGTCAAATCTCCCACTCTAAAATCCAAAAATTGAAGAATTTCCACTGCCTATTAAATAGAGAGAACTACACCGATTAAGCTAGAATAGTAGTAATGGCGCGTTAGCTTATCATTAGTGTAGTAAGGGTTCTTACTTGTTAGCGCTTTAGTTTTCAATAAGGACGTTTAGCCTTTACTAATAACATAGAAAGGGCTTTTCTCGCTTGTTTAGTATTGCTTTGGTTTTTCCATTCGTATCTTGCTTGCAGGGAAGCTATAAGAGAGAAATGAATATCTCTGGTCTTTTTTCGATTTTATAGTAGATTCCTAGACATTTCACAGTAGTTGTTCTGGCGACATAAGAACCTTGATCTTTGAAAACTCACAAGAACAAATAGAGAACAATGGTTGGCCTTCTTCTACGGAGGTCCTTTCTCTTTCTTCTTCTTGATTTCCTTTCTCTTCATCTTTCCTTCTTTAACCATAGATCAAGATTCCTTCAAAATAAAATCTTTCTAAATTTTTCTATTTGTCTTTTCATTCATCACGATTGGAGCAAATATGTGACCAAAACATGAACAAGAGATATAAAAGACCGAAATTAAAAACTCTAGTATTTAAATTTTAGGACCTCTCATGATTTAAAATTCTTTCCCCTTCGGTAGGGTGAGGTTTCGGAGGGAAAAAAGAAATAAGGGAGGAGAATTTTGGGGTTGTTGAGACCCACAAACAACAAAAGAGAAAGAGTTGATGGCTTAGCTAAGTGGCTCAACTTAGCCTCTTTATCTCCTTCCTCGTCCCTTTTTCAAGCCCACCATTCTCAACTTTGAAATCAACTTTGATATGTTTTGTCAAACGTAAGACCTCATATTTGGGTTTTAGTGGGTTGGTTCTTGGTTCAAATGGAGAAGGGGTCAGTTTATGGGTTAGGTTAGGAAAGTGATGTGGGTCGGATTACCACCTTTTCGGATTAAATTATGTGGACTAGGCGTTTTTGTTAGCCAAGTCAACAAAAAACTGACCGTGTTAACAGAGAGTGACCAACGTGAAATGTTTAACCACTTTCAGTGACCACAAAAGAAATAAAATATTTTTAATGACTTAATATGAATTTTTTAGCACTTTCAGTGACCAACCTTGCAATTTACCCTAATGGAAGAGAGGGTTTTTCAAGGGGTTTTGTTTAGGGAAGAAAGAAAAAAGTGGCAAACCAGATAGAGCCCTAGCTATGGGGAGGGACCGGATCAGGTCAGTAACTGATGGGTCAGTAACCCATCAGTAACCTCTTCTCTTGTCGCCACGTGTCAGTCCCTTTTTTATTTAAATTAAATGCGAAAGGACAATAAGGTAAAATTGCTCTTACCTCTATTTATTGCTAACGCTGACTTTTGATCAGATCACATCAGCGCCTTCTCTCTCCTCGAAAAACCTTTAATTTTCCTTCTCTTAATCTTTAACGGACGATTTCTCACTCGTTTAACTCAGAATTTAATTTTTTTTGCACAGTTAGATCAGATTAATTGTGCACTTCAAAATGATATTCACTTTGATATTTTTTAGACATAAAAAAATTTGTCAGTTATTACCAGTCTATACCATATGGTATTGACTGGTATTGACCATACCATATAGTATGAAAAAATTTGTCACATCAATATATATTACGTTACCACCCAATACCATATGGTATAGTGTGGTAATATCAATATATATTTCGTTACCACCCAATACCATATGGTATAGTGTGGTAATATCAATATATATTTCGTTACCACCCAATACCATATGGTATAATGTGGTAATATCAATATATATTTCGTTACCACATAATACCATATGTTATAGTGTGGTAATATCACACAATACCATACAATACCATATGGTATACTGTGGTAATATCAATATATAATTCGTTACCACACAATACCATACATTACCATATGGTATAGTGTGGTAATATCAACAAATATTTCGTTACCACCGAATACCATATGGTATAGAGTTATAATATCAATATATATTATCTAAAAGAAAAATAACATTAGGAGGTAGAGAAAAACAATCGTCTTGTGTCGCCTCTCATTTTCTCTTCCGCAATCAAGAACACCAAAATGCCGAAAAAATGAGAAAGATCGAAATTGAGGCCAACAAGATGATGAAGAGAAGAAATGCAATGAAAAAGAGTGGCTCCAATTTTTATTCGTCATGTAAAAAAAATAAAGAAGAAGAGAAAGGAGCAGATTTAGATCTAGAAATGAGATTGAGAGAGAAAAAGGAAGAGAGAAAGAGAGAGGATCTGGAAAAGAGATTGGGAGAGAAAAAGGAAGAGAGAAGGAAGTTAGAAAGTTGCATAGAAGTGATTTCTCTTTCCTTCTTTAAAAGTGCAGCCATTAAATACGAAATAAAATAAAATAAAATAAAATAAAAAATTTAATGTATAAACGGACAAAAATACCCTTCCCTACTCAGCGTCCGGCACATCCACACGATTGCATGCCTCTTAGATCTATGGTCCCTATTCATTACTGACATGTCAGTAACCATGGGGAGCAGGGCCGAGGCCGTTTAAGCTAATGACAAAATGGGTCTGGTTTATGTATGTAGCAGGTAATCTTGCGATCGGATTTGGGCTTCACGTAATGGGCCCGAAATTTTAGCAGTTGTCTGAAGCTTCTGGAATTCGTGGAGACTTGAAGGATGAAGGGGCTTTCCCTCATCTCTAGGGGTGGAAATCAGTACGGTATCGATATCCCAATACCAAATACCGAAATTCCGAATACCGAATTACACCCTAAAGTCAATCCCAATCCCAATCCCTAAATAATTTCGGTATCTCAATCCCAATCTCTAAATATTTCGGTATCCCAATCGGTACTTCGGTATCCCAATCGGTATTATCAAATACGAAATTAATTACCTTTGCAATTAATAATTAAATATATAAATTAGATTTTATTGTTTAATTTACGGGAAAAAGACTAATCAAAGAGTTTTGAATTAGGATATTATTATGGAGAGTGGAGGAGAGGAGACATCTCAAGTTCTTGTTATTGATAATCTTTAATTTGACGAATTAGAGGTTGAGCGACGACTATTAATAATGATGGAATGATCTGTGTATAATTAAATGACACTTTTGGTGGTTGAGAGTCATTTAGTAGTAAATGAGAGAGTTTAGTTGAGAGGATAAAATACAAACTAGCTTATATTTCGGTATTGATCGGTATTTCGGTATATCCCGATCCCAATCGGGTAATCCCTAATACCGAATAACAATTGAAATTCAATCATAATCCCAAGAAATAATACTTTGATTCGGTAATACAAAATATAGACAAATTCGGTACGGTATTTGGTATATCCCAAATACCGGTACCAAACTTCCAGCCCTACTCATCTCTGTCTCTCTCGTTTCTCCACCTCGATCTCCAAGCGAAATTGGCGAGCTTGAAGGCGAAGCCAGCTGCTGCAAACCGCCCGCAATCCCAGGTCGATCTCTCGATCTCCGCCATTTATGAGGGTCTACTTTCGTGTTTCCCTTTTATCTACTTTTTCATGGCTTGTCTGTTTTGTTAGTCGATTCAATACGTCTCGGCGGAAGTTGTTTTAAAGTTTTGGTTGCTTTTCCAGCTTAGAGCCTTCTCTCCAGAAATTTGATTTTGTATTTCTTGCGCGGAAGGAGGTAGTCTGGTTTCAAATTCCTGGTGCGGCGTAGAGAATGAGAGTTTGAATTCCACTAGGTTTCTTGGTTTCGTTTTAGGAATTATCGGAACACCATATTGAATCTACCAAGGGAAGTTTGGATATTTTGGGGAATCGGATCATCGGTTTAGAACTTGTCCGTTAATTGAATGTGAGTTTCTTGCCTTCCCGTTGGATTCACTGTGCAGAGAGTTATATGTTTCAGTCTGGAAATTAGTTCCAGATGTTGACAATGATGCTTCCTAGGCTATGAATTAGTGTATGGTCGAACATTTTAGATTGTCCAATGCGATCTTTATATTGTATGTATTATTGATTTCTATCCCTTCCTGGGTTTAGATTGTGACATCAAGCAGAAATGAGTAGAAGAAGCTACAGTTACAGTCCCTCTCCAACGAGAGGGTATGGTAGAAGACGCAGAAGTCCTAGCCCTAGGGGGCGTTATAGTGGTCGCAGCAGGGATCTGCCAACCAGTCTCCTTGTTCGCAACCTTAGACATGACTGCAGGTTACTAGTGAACCTTTTTTCCCGCTTTGAATCCTGACATTTATTCTTGAATTGACCATCCCATACTTGTGTGATTATAATAAAAATGATGTGATGTATTTCCTTGTGCGTGTATGTTGATCAAAACAACGATCTGGCTGATGTTATACCCCCTTTTCTCCCATCCATAACGCAGCCCTGAAGATCTACGTGGACCATTTAGCCAGTTTGGTCCTCTGAAGGACATCTATCTGCCTCGTGACTATTATACAGGGTAAGTGTTATAATCTTGGTGTTAGTTCTGTTCCATCCGAGACAGGCTGATATTGAAGCTGTGTATTTAAATCTATTGACTTGTTGGTCATGGGCAACCTTTCTCACCATTGTATGATGATGCCGGGGTGTGTATCTTCTTATTAATTGTCGGTTTATGGGAATGTGGCTGTTTTTATTGAAAGTGTTGAAGACACAAATGAAGTAGTAAGAGAAAGACAAGAATGAAGTAATAACAGTACTTGAAGGCACCATTCAAGTATTAAGACTACTGTTCTCGGTGGTCATAGTGTACATCAAGATAAAGGAAGTTTGAAGGGAAGTTGGGTTGAAGTTCAAGTGTTGAAGGCCCAATTAGATTTTTTATTCAACCAAGGTCAGCAAATGCATAATCATTTTGCTTTAATGGTATGATGAATCAGATGCTGGTTGTCATATGGTCCTCGGCATGTCAGGATTCAGAAGCAGAATCTTAGTTTGTCAATGTTGTGGTTGGCATGCTTATGAATTATGTATGTTTATTTACGCAAGTTGTTGTCTTGTGCTCTTAAATTCTGATGCAGGCAGCCTCGTGGGTTTGGATTTATCCAGTTTGTAGAGCCTGCTGATGCTGCTGAAGCAAAGTACAACATGGATGGTGAAGTTCTTCTTGGGAGGGAACTAACAGTTGTTTTTGCCGAGGAAAACCGAAAGAAGCCCTCAGAAATGAGGGCCAGAGACCGTGGCAGGTAATCAAAGTTTGTTTGAACAATGACCACATATTATGCATTATGATCCTTGAATGTGCCCCTCCATATTCGTAAGGCATGATGATTCTCTTCAGACAAAACACTAAATGGCACATGTTGTATGTGTGTTCAGGGGTCGTGACAGCGAGCGCAGGAGGTCACGCTCACCACGGTACGGACATAGTAGGTATTCCAGGAGCCCTCAATACTATTCCCGTTCTCCTAGAGGAAGGCGATACTCTAGGTAAGTCTTCTTGCTCCCGTTTATCATATCCATGTGCTGTTATAAACAGACAGACTTGTTAAAAAAACATTGATGTGCTTTGTTTGTTATTTCTGAATGGGGTCAATGAAGGTCACCATCTCCAAGGGGCGGGAAGTATAGGTCCATATCTCCAAGGGAGAGAAGCTACAGGGAGAGGTCCTACTCGAATTCGAGGTCTCCTTACATGGACAGAAGCAGGAGCCCAAGTGGCAGCAGGAGCCGGAGCTTCAACTAGTACTTGTGTCTCTATCTAAGTTAGGAGTTGCAGGAAGGGACGGAGGAGTTTAGGTTTGTGTCTAATTGTGTGAAGAATGTGTAGCATAGTTGCAGTGGATGAGTATAATTGATCAGTGCTGTGTTTAGTAGTTGTAATCCATATCCTTGCGAAATGTGTGTCAGTTTCGTTTGGCTAAGGACATTACTTGTGTCTTATGATGTTCCCTAATTATAGCTTGCCTAAGAGGTTGTTTCATGTTTGCTTGTTACGTTTCGGTCATGGATTTGGGACTCATTCATGATCGATGACGAACATCAAATTTATGATTTTGGTCTTTTTATCCAAATTAGTAGGCCGCATGGAGGTATAGACACATATCCTATCATTGACTTTTTCGGTATGACCTTCGGTATTGTTTCACAAACTTTGAATCTTTGTTAAAGTTAGACGTCCAGTGATTCATTTTTGTCCAATTTGCAATTCAAAGCCGGATGGTGCCATGTTTCCCTGCTGACAGTGTAGCAAGATGCGATGGCAACTTTCATATATGAGAGATGACGGTGGTATATACATACTTACATAAGTACATCAAGCGAGCCACACAACAGATACACATGGGCCATGGCTTCTCGTTTGCGTGAAAGAAACTCAAACCAAAACTTGGAACGGTGAAAAGGCAAAAGAAGAAAAAGATGCCGTGGAAAAGATAAAGCTAGCAGTCGTAGATGCCGAAACGATAATACAGTACGGCGGGCCACTTTTCGCTCTCAAACTTCGGCGGAGCATCCGGATTGTACGAACCCGGCAAACTGACGAGGCACACTCACCTTGTTCCATTTACCATTTTGCCCTTCCACCGCATAGAACCCTTGCGGCCCACCTTGGTACGCTGACCCGGACACCAGCGTCATTCCGGCCCCCAGCTGGACCCCACAGGCCCCCACTTTCACCGCTCCGCCGCCCATCTCGGCCCAGTTGAACAACGCCAGTCCTCCCCCGCTCTTCCCGCCCTTCGGGATCGTCGTCACCCCGAGGCACGACCTCGGGCACTGCCCGGCCTTCCACACCCCCTCCACGCGCCTCCACTCCGACGCGCCAGCCGAGAGGTCGATCGCCTCGGCGCTATCCTCGAATTCGCCCTGGCTCTCGGTGCGGTACCCGCCCACGACCCAGAACTCCGACCCGATCACCACCCCTTCGCACTCGTCTCTCTCCTGGCTCATCGCCGCCAGCTCCCTCCACTCATCCCCCTTCACATCGTACACCCACGCGCTCTTCAGCGCGTTCTTGTTCTCGTCGTGCCCGCCGGCCACTACCACCTTCCCGTCCCACTCGCCGGCGGCGAAGAACGACCGGGCCGCCGGCATGCTCTTGCCCCGCCTCCACCTCCGGGTGGTGAATTCGTACACGAACACGTGGCTCACCGGGTGGTAGTCCACCGGGTCCCACCCGCCCATCACCACCAGCTTCCCTTCCGAGCTGGTCACCTGGCAGAACAGCGGCAGCCCGTCCGCGTAATCGGGAACTGGGTCGACCCGCTCCCACGACTCGTTGACCGGGTCGAACAGCGACACCCCGTATCTCGCAGGTCCGACCGGCTTGCCCACCGCCAGTTCCGACTCCGGGGCCTGCAGCGCCTGAATTAGACAGGCCGCCTTCCGGGTATGACCCGTTTGTTTCCTGTGGTAGTAAAACTCTCTGCTGCGGACCAGCTGGCGCCACCGGCGGCAGACACCGGAGGCGACGCCGTGAGCTGTGAAGTGTAATCGGATAAGACACTCCATGGCTATCTCTTCCGGCAAGCCCGGGATTAGCTCCGGGAACTCTTCGGCAGTCATGGCTGTTAAGATTTTGAAGGAATTAGTAAGATTGAAACTGGGATTGGAGCCTGGAGGCAAATGAGGGGAGAAAATTGGTTTGTATAGAGAGACAAAGAAACGGGGAATTCTGGAATGGATAATTTTGGAGATGAAGGATTTTGGGGATTTTGGAAGCTGCTGATAGGGAAGAGCGTTTGCTGTTTGGATATTTATCAGTGGATGGCGGTGTTTTTTTAATTATTTTATTTTGTTTGTTTGTTTAAACTAAGAGAAGAGATTGGGAGAACCAATCAGAATGCGGCATATAGGTTGACAAATGAGAGACGGGGATGGACCGGAACACAATCACAGCTAGGGCTGGAAGTTTGGTACCGGTATTTGGGATATACCGAATACCGTACCGAATTTGTCTATATTTGGTATTACTGAATACACGTATTATTTTTTGTGATTGGGATTGGGATTGAATTTCAATTGTTATTCGGTATTAGGGATTACGGGATTGGGATCGGGATATACCGAAATACCGATCAATACCGAAATATAAGCTAGTTTTTATTTTATCCTCCCAACTAGACTCTCTCATTTACTACTACATGACCCTCAACCACCAAAAGTGTCATTTAATTATATACAGATCATTCCATCACTATTAATAGTCGTCTCTCAACCTCCAATTCGTCAAATTAAAGATTATCAATGACAAGAACTTGAGATAAGCAATAAAATCTAATTTATATATTTAATTATTAATTGCAAAGGTAATTAATTTCTTATTCGATAATACCGATTGGGATACCGAAGTACCAATTGAGATACCGAAATATTTAGGAATTGGGATTGGGATACCGAAATTATTTAGGGATTGGGATTGGGATTGACTTTAGGGTGTAATTCGGTATTCGGGATTTCGGTATTTGGTATTGGGATACCGATACCATACCGATTTCCACCCCTAATCACAGGGAAGAATTCCAAGAATACAGTAAAAATTATACATAATTCCTGGAATACATAAGTTTTATAAAATTTTCCCAAACTACCTAAGTTTCAAAGGGTTCGAGTTTATGAGACTCGAACTGTAAACTAGATCGACGAAGGAAAACTCGAACCATATTAAACGACGACGGAGGACTCGATCTCAGTAGATCGAGTATAGACAACTCGATCAAGTTAGATAGAGTACGGACAACTCGATCCAATAAAATCGACGCTTAAAACCTCGATTTAGTGGAACGACTTTAATGCACCCGATCTTTATCTGCACAAGATCGATGCCCTATGACTCGAACTACCATAATCGATTCCAAAAGGCTCGAACCACTGGCCCACCGACATGCTTCAGGATAGGGTTGCAGGGATAAGATTCTTTGTTGGTGCAGATCGAGTTCTAGGGACTCGAACTAGACTAGTTCGATTATTCTAAACTCGAACCACTGCTCAATCATTCTGTCCCGTCCCTTTCGGCCCGACATGCTCCAGAATAGGGTGCAGGGGGGTAAAATTATTGGTTGCCGTAGATCGAGTTTAACGAACTCGAACTAGTGTAGATCGAGTTTAATGAACTCGAACTAGTGTAGTTCGAGTGTTTTGGACTCGAACCACTGCATCAGTTTACGAGGATAAAAAGCCATCACTTAGCACATTCTGACAGCTCTTTTACTTTCTATCTTCTTTCTTCCAAACACAAACTGCAGCAGCTGGAGCACCATAGCTCAGGAAAGAAGAAAATTTTTGGAGGTAAGTTCTGCTTACGTTGTTTGAATGAGCATATTAGAATTTTGGATTAATTTAGAATTGTTTGTACTGTATGTAATGAGCTGCTTCTATAAACTGCAGAAATGGGTAGAAATTTTCGAAAATTCGACTTATTGATTTGGTGGAATGGTCGAATTACACATTTTCATGATAGTATTGACTACGAAGATGGTGAATCAAGTACTGTCCCAATTAAGAGCATATTTACTTGGCAAAAGAACTCAGCCATATTTGTGCGGAACGATGTTGCATAGGAGGGAGAAGAGTATGCAAGATGACTTACCGTATGCCGGTTTACAAGGATTATGCACTTGTATATGAAGGATCAGTTTTGTCTGACGATGATGATGTTAATATGATGGTGAGATTTATTGCAGAGAACAGATTTCCAACTGCTGAGGTGTATGTCGAGACAGAAGTTGTTGGCCAATATGGTGGGGGCGGTTATACCGAACAAGGTGAAGGATCGGGAGGTTTTTCCGGTTCAGGAGATTTGAGAGTGCGGCATGATGCACCATGGCCAACATACGAGGATCGAACTGCAACTGGTCCATTGGTGGAACATGACGGACAGGAGTGGCCAGTATGGGGTGAAGAATGGGATTACATAAGGGCACCCAGACAGTCACCCAGACAAGCATCTACACCAGCATCTGGCATCAACAATGATCCATATGTGGATAAACCAAGTCCTCCGTACACTAGCGAGGCAAGCGACGTGGAAGATGAAGAGTTAGAATCAATGAGTAGTTCAGATGGTGAAGATCTGGAAGTTGACGAGGAGGAATTTCAGCCCCCCACACCTCACTACACGATGGTGCCACAACATCCTCTCTATGCTCACAACGACGATCCTAACCTCCCTCCTATACCAATCTGGACTCCTGACTATGGATTCGTGGTTGGCCAAACATTTGCAGGAAAGCCACAGGTGGTCGATGCATTGAAAGAAACTGCTATGCGAAGAAGCTTTCAATATCGTGTCATCACTTCTGACACTAAACAAATTCATGTTCGTTGCGAGAACCATGGCGACGGATGCATGTGGCATGTTCGGGCGGCATATGTTAAAAGAAATGGGGCTTGGCTCATTCGTAAGACAGACAACAACCACACTTGTAGGTCGTCACTGATTTCTCTAGATCACCGACAATTGAGTGCAAGGAAGGTTGCACAAACAATCAAACATCTGATTGAGGCACAACCTGGGATCACCGTGAAGAGTGTCATTGCTGAAGTGAAGAATCGACATGGCTATACCATCAGTTACAAGAAAGCATGGCATGGGAAGCAAAAAGCTATGGCAGAGGTGTATGGTGATTGGGAAGAGTCATTTGCTAACATGCCTCGTTTGATTCTTGCAATGGAGGACAAGAATCCTGGGTCTGTTTTTGTGCCTAGTTACGAAGATTTCTATGGAGGTGCTAAACGCGTGTTTAAGAGACTATTTTGGGCATTCAAACCATGCATTGATGGTTTCACCCATTGTCTGCCAATAATCCAAGTTGATGGCACCATTCTGACCGGCAAATACAAGGGCACTCTACTCGTTGCCACTAGTGTTGATGGCAGTATGCAACTTTTCCCCCTTGCTTTTGCTATAGTCGAATCGGAGAACAACTTAAGTTGGGCATGGTTTTTTTCCCAACTATACACTCGTGTCACTCAACGGAAGGACATTGCCATACTTTCTGATCGACACCATGGAATTAGACATGCTTTCTACGACCTGCCTGAGGAGCTAGGGTGGAAGTGGCGCTGGTGCATACGACATTTCAAAAGCAATTACGGGAAGCACTTTGGTAGAACTTATGGACAACGTGCAGCTTGGCACGCTGGTAAGAACAAATAAGATGTTGTGATTATATCAATTGGTTGAATGCGTATACTCCTTTACTAACCTTATTTTGCTTTATTGTAGCTATTGCTTTTCAGACTCGAAAGTTTGTAGACAAAATGAAGAGCATAAGGGAGGTCCACTCTGAAGGTGCAGATTGGCTAGAAACTCATCCTTATGAGAGGTGGACGTTACATCAAGACGAAGGGTATAGGTATGGAATAACAATAACGAACATGGGTGAGTGCCTCAATGGTTTGTATGTTGGTCTTCGTGCCCTAATCTCGTCCCAATCTTCCAAAAGAACTCGAAGCCACATACAATGCATATTTCCACCAGACTTGTTCGGAAACAAAAATCCTCCAACCAAACAAATAAGGTAGATGCGAGCATACCTCTCTATCTGAGCATCTGTGGCATCCTCCGGTAATTCCCCAACGGTCCTCACTAGCCAAGGTATCAATAACATAGACTTGTGTAGAGGTGGTACACGACGACCTTCTTGTGCTTCCTCGGGGATGTTGATACCTAAACGCTCGCTTATAAATTGGCCCCAACCATTCAATGGTTTATGTGAACTTTCTATTATTGCATCACCATCGATAGGAAGCTCTGTCAGCATGGCTACGTCCTTCAACGTAATCGTCATCTCTCCCTCTAGAAGGTGGAATGTGTGTGTTTCTTTTCTCCATCTTTCCACCATTGTCGTAAGAAGGTTGTTGTCCATCTCGATCCGCGTCAATTAGTTCGATTCTAAGGAGCTCGATCCATGTGCAACGATTTTTTCCCACTCGATCCGCGTCACCACTAAATCGCGGACTTGGCCATCGAACGGTGGAGTTCGATTCCCCTTACCTCGATCTAGGGTGGAGCGCTGCTTATGTCAGCGATCCATGTCAACCAGTTCGAGTGTACTGTACTCGATCCACGTAAAACGAGTTTACAACACTCGATCCGCGTCGTCCTGTTCCAGCCAATCGCGGCTGTTTCACTCGATGCACGTGGATCGATCCCCCGACAATCGATCTGTCTACTAGTTCGAGTTTGTTAAACTCGAACCGGTTCAAACTTTGGTATTTTGGGAAATATTTATAAAAGTGATGTATTGTGGGAATTACTTTTAATTTTCGCTGTATTTAGGGAAATAATCCCAATCACAGAGGGTACATGGTTCAGAGAGTGGCGGAGTCAGAAAATTGGCTAAGGGGTGTGTTTATCATATCATAAAAAATCACTTAGGGGTCGTTTGCTTCAAGGATTTGGTACATGGATTTGGTACCAAAAAACCAACTATCAAGGATTTAGGTACAATCTGTTGTTTGCTTGCACTTTTTTTGGAGACCAAATCCGTGGGGCCCACGGATTTTAAGGGTCCAAATCCGTGGACCCCACGGACTTATAAATCCCACATGTTGATGTGGAA